GGCCACTTGTTGGGCTAGCCCCTGAAGAAGCTTTGTGTTTGTACCTGTGAGTTACCCCCACAAAGAGATCAAGGGGCCCCCCTTCCACAGCCTTCACTTCCCTTGGAACAGGAGCCTTCCCCTTTTGATTCTCCCCACATACCTCCCTCCCTGTATCTTCCCAGCCTAGCACAAGCTCAGTCATCCAGTTAGAATAAATGTCACTCCCCTGCTCAAAAGCCTGCAGTGGCTCCCCACTGACTGCCCACTAGATATGGTCCAGCCCAGGAGCCTGGACGTTCAGCCTCACTCCACGGGGGCTTTCCCACCTCAGTGCCCTTCTGCTCACCGCCCCCCCCCAGACCTTCCTCTGTGCCTGTCTAACCATCCTTTAAAACCTCATTCAAGCCGCACCTCCGCCCTGAAGCTGGACCGCTGCGGCTCTCCCACGATCCCCCCTCTGACCTCCCCATTCCTCACTTGCTCAGGTCTGAGCGTGCTCAGCCCACGTGTGGCTTCTTGTGCACGCCCACCCTGTCTCCCCAGCTAGCTGGGAGCTCCGTACCCTGCATCTCTGAACCCCCACGGAGCCCAGGATGCACAGCAGCCACTCAGTGAAGATCATCTCCTGATTGGTGGAGAACCCGGAACTAGGACTGGAGCCCCACCCAGCCCTGCACCTGCTCTCCTCAGCCTCTCCCACCATCAAGACTCTCGACCAATCCTGACCTGAGGTAGGAGGGACTTAATCATTCTGGCCTCTCTCATAGGGCCACAGCCCCAGTCCAGCCTCCTGTTTGGCTGGCCCATCTCTCAGGACTCCATTCACTGGGCAGCTTCTGTCCCATCTCCTGGGCCTCAGTCCTGGCCTTGGTGACCTGCTCCAACCTCAGACTCCCCAGCTGAGACCTGGAATCTTTTATCCAGGAGCTGGATCTTCTTACTGCTGCTCAACTCTTTCAGTACAAACTGCCTGGCGTTTTGAGTCTAGTAACAATAGCTATAATAATAATCACACACCATGATTGATTACTGTGCATCCGGCGCTTTATGTACATCAGCTCATTTAATCCCCAGCACAACTGCTAAGCAGTACCTAGTATTATCTTCATCTTACAGACAAGTAAACTAAGACTCAGAGAGGGCAAGCAATTTGCCCAGCGTCACACAGCTGACAGGAGCCTGCCATTTGTCTCAAAGTTCTTGTGAAACCTGTGGACGTACTGCCTCCTTGCCATGCACACCTGCTGGAATCCCTTCTGCAGCCCCCCTCTGCAGTCCCTGGCCTCTCACCTGAACCCATCAGACCTCAGGAGTCCAGGTTCTCAAGCCTCTGTAGTTGGGTCTATCTGTGCTGGGCTATACCGCACCCCAGGGGTAGATCTGGCTGCTGCTGTCGAGCGTGCACAGACCACCCATCTCGCTGCGCGGACCCAGGCAGAGCCGGCCTCGCCAAGAAGTCAGAGCTCCCTGCTGCTGCCTACTTGTCCCAGGAGCTGCTGGCAGGCCGCCTGGCTCTCCTGCGGGACCAATATTCCTCTGACCCTTGACCCATAAACCCTGACCCTGCTTCTTCTCCTCCACCAGACCCTGCAGTGAGGACACTCCCAACAGTTCCCTTTTTGTGCCCTCCCACGAGCCTCCAGACCTGCCAGAAATCCAGCCACGTGCATTCCAGTCCAGCGTCCCCTCCCTGGCCGGACATTCGCGGTCTGAACTCTTCTCCTTCAGGGCGGCTCTGCCCTCTGGCCTCTCTTCCCCGCGAGGCTCTCTGCAGAACCAGAACGGCTGTGCTGATGGTTAAGGCAAGTAGATGCCCCCACGTGACACCCGGACCCCCAAGTTAGCCCCATCCTTCACAGAGGTGACACGGAGTCCAACATCTCCAATTCCCGCCTCCCAGGAGAGGGGCCTGACAGGCCCAGCTTGGAAGACGGATCCTCCTGGCCCGCTCAGCCGAGGCCAGGCGGGAGCAGGGCCCGGAACAGAAACAGCTGCTCGCGGTCCTCGCGCTAAACACCTAGCTGTCCTCTAAGGGGCACACGGAGCCCGTGCAGTAGATGTTCCAACCCAGTGGGTCTCAAACTTAATCGCCAGGATTAAGTTTGTTAGAATCTGCATTTCCTAACACCTCCCACGGGTGGGCGCTATTGCTGCTGCCTTGGAGACCACACACGGCCCTAATCTTCTAGCCCATTCCATAGGTAAGGACATTGAGACTCAGGGAGAGGGAGTGACTTGCCCTGGTCACATACAGGATCCAGGATTTAGATCCAGGTCTATTTAATCCACGTGTCAAAGGTCTGTTGCACCACTGCCTGGAGTGCAGGCCCAGCCGCGTGGGCAGCAACAGTTCTCGGAACGGCAAAGGCAGGACCTGCCAGATGTCTGCCACCGGCCAACCGCAGTGCTGCGTCATGGCTCCCCACCGTGGGCCCAGCTGATCCTGGCCAGCACACCCCGCAGTGACCCCCAATGCTTCAAGCCAGGCGAGAGAGGAAAGGAGGGAAGAGGGGAAAGAAGGAAGGCAAAGGCTTGATAAATAATAGTACCAACAGCTCCCGCCGTGCAGCCCTAAGTACTTCCTGTTAACCAGGCAACCTTTGCATGGTCCCCTTTTACAGTGGGAGCCCTGAGGCACAGAGCGTTAAGTGACTTGCCCAACGTCACACAACAGGTAAGTATGAGAACTGGAGTCCATGCCAGGCAACTCCGCTCTAGGGCGATGCCTGGCGCGGCAGTTGAGGGGGCCAGCTCTGGACTCAGACAGACTCGAGTCCGAATCCTGCCTTCTCAGCAGCTGTGTGACTCCAGCCCAGTGGCTGTGCCTGGTCTCCTGTTTTGCCCTCTTATGAACAAACGATGCGGCCGTGATGTCCTGGCATGGGTCCTTGATTCTTTTCTTGGATTAAATTCCCAGACGGGACTCCCTGGGTGAACGGCTGTGCAAACTCCTGAGGCTTTGAGATGCGTTTGCAAGTGGAGGGTGGGGATGGCCGCCACCAGGGGGGAGCAGACACCAGGAGAAGGGCGCCTGGAGGAGGGACCGCTGGTGACGGTGGTGACGGTGGTGACGTGGAGCACGTCCCTCCTCCGTCTCTTTGGCCCCAGCCCTCCCCACTTCCTGGGTGGGCTGTGAACTTCCAGGGTGGGGCTGAGGGTCAGCTTTGAAGACCCAGGTCCCTCTAAGCCCAGCTCCTCAAAGTGAGTGCCGGCATCAGCATCACCGGGAACATGTGGGAATGCAGGTTCCCAGGCCCCGCTCCAGAAACGCGGAATCAGAGAGGCTGGGGGAGGGCCCGGCCATGTGCTTTAACAAGCTGTCCCGGAGACTCTGATGAAGCGCACGTTCAAGGACCTGTGCTCTAGGCCAGGGGTTGCCAAACGTTTTATGTAAAGAACCAGGAGATGTTGTAGGCCTCACGGGCCAGGCGGTCTCTGTTCCAGCTACTCAACCCTCTTCCTGTAGCACGAGAGCAGCCCTGAGCCGTGTATAAATAAAGGAGCGTGGCTATGTTCCCATAAATCTTTATGGACGCTGAAATTTGAATTTTACATAATTTACACATGTCACAAAATATTTTTCTTTTGATTTTTTTCCAACTATTTAAAAATATAAAAACCGTTTTTAGCCGGCAGGCCGCACACAACAGGCTGCGGGCCAGAGTGGCCGGCCGCAGCGTGCCAGCCTGCCCTGCGCCCCCCGCTGCTCCGGGCTCAGGGCAGGAGCGCAGGACAGGGAGCCCCGACCCGCCCGGCTCCCAAGCCAGTGCTCCCTCCCCTGAGCTGCTCCGACAGATTCCAACCTTGGGACGATGACAGGAAGACTCTCTGGGCCTTGGTGACAGTCAAGTGGGCGTTGCAGTCCCTGTCCCCCATGATCAAAGCACTGGGACGCCAACATTAGGGGGCAACAAAATCCCGGGGAAACCAGCTGGTGTCCGGGCCCCACTCCGGAAGCTCTGATTCCATGAGCTCAGACAGGATCTGTAGGGGCCTGGGAATCTGCACTTTTCTCAAACTCCACCCCCCTGACCCCCCCACCCACGTGATTCCCATACAGGTGGCCTCCACCCCCGGCCAGACATCTTGGCTGTCAAAGCCTATACAAGATGAGCAATGCAGTGAGGGAAGAAAGCCTAGGGGCCTCCGAGAGCCTGGGTTCAAATCCCACCTCTACCACTTATAATAAGCTGTGCATCCTCAGGCTAATTACTTGACCTCTCTGGGCTACAATTTCTTCCTCTGTTACAAAGGGGTGATAATCATGCCCACTCCAGAAAGCTGATAACACAGTTAAATGGGATACCGCATGCAAAGCCCCGGGACACAGAAAGTTCTCCACAAGTATTAGCCGTAGTTACGGTGGCATGTTGTTACTGGAATTGGGGTGCTGTGGTGGTGCAGGGCTCCTCAAATTTTAGTGCACAAAAATCACCTGGGATCTTGCTAAAATGCAGATTCGAATTCAGTAGGTGTGGGGGCCTGAGAATTTGCTTTTCTAACAAGCTGCCGGGAGGTGTCAATGCAGCTGAGCTGGGACCACACCTTGAGCAGCCCAGCTCAGGAGTGGGGTGGATTCTCTCGTCCATGGGCAGTGGTTGGCACGGGGCTGGCGACAGCGAGCGCTCGGTCATTAACCGATTACTGGCATTGTTGCTGCTGCGGTAACTGATTTTGTTCTGATGGTGGGGACCAGGGAGCTCAGGGGCAGGCCAAGGGAAAGACAAAAAGTGGCTCATCCATTCCCCCAAAGCTGAGCACCCTCCTGTCCCTCCTCCGCATCTCGCCTTTCTGGTCTCCTGCTAGCAGCGCGGCGCCAGGTGCCCTGCCTCAAGCCCCGTACCCGGCACACGCGCAGACACGTGCCCTCCGTTCAGAGCGAGCTGCGAGCTGCGTTTATTTTTGCACATAGCCAGGAGGCTTCTCATAGACAACCCTGTTGGCCAGATGCAAGAGCAAAGGGGTGTTTGTTCAAGAAATCCAGCGGGGCCCACCCAGGGAGGGACACCCACAGCGAGGGGACCTGGCAGAGCAGGACGCACCCTGGAGGGGAAGTCACGAGCTCCCAGTTCTAAGCTGGCCTGGGAACCTCACTTCCTGTGTGACCTCAGACCAGTCGCTCCCCCTCTCTGAGCCTCCGACTGCCGCACGGGAGGAGGAGGTTGAAGTAGATCAGCTGCATGGGAGCTTGCGACAGAAACAGATTCTCAGGCCCACCCCAAATTTCCTGATCAGAACTAGGGGAGAGTGCAGCCTGGTGACACCCACAGAAAAAGGGCAAAGGGTTATCTCAGGGGTCACCAGCCAGTGAGGAAGCAGCGGCCAAGTCCCCTGGTCACACGTCACCTACCAGGAACACAGCCAGGACCCAGGAGGGGACAGAGGAGGCCAGAAGCTGACAGTTCACAGCCCAGGCAGCCTGGGAGAGTCTTGTTTTTATCGAATGAATGAATGCACGGATATGTTGGTTAATTAATTAATTGATTGACTAATCTTTCTTACTCCAGAGAGCACAGGGCCTGGGGACACATATCCATAATATATGCTCAGTGAATAGCTGTCAAACGGAAGGAAGAAAGGCGAGCTGGAAGGAATTTCAAAATTGTGTCCTGCCTGGAAAGGTAGGGCCTGCGATCATGTTGCCTTGGCCCTTGGGACAATCCCACGGGAAGGCTGGGTGTGGAAGGAAACAAAGGCAGGGAGGGAGGGACTCAGTTGGGCATCATGACGTTTTCCCTTCGCTTCCGCAGATCCTTCTCATTGATGCGTCTGGTCACATGTTTATCCCTATAAGCCGCCTTGGAGCAGTCTGGGAGCGAGGGAGGTTGCGAACAAGGCGACCGGCAGAAAGACGGCAGGAGAAGCGAAGTGCGGTGGACAGAGCACCTACGCCCGGCCGCCGGGCCAGATGCGTTGTGACATTCCCGCGCTGGCTTCTCGCTAGAGTCCCGCCAGGTTCCTGCCAGCTTTGCCGCTGCCTGGCTGGGCGACCTTGGCGAGGAAGTCGCCTCAACTGTGAGTTTTTGTTCCCTTGGCTGCAGAATGGAGCTATGTGGGCTGCTATCGTCAGGAGCATTTTGTGAGCTAACGTCTAAAATGCCTGCCCGGCACATAGTAGGCGCACAATAAAGAGTGGTTTGCATAAAGAACTACACGCCCTACCGGACACATAGTAGGTCCTCAACAAATGTCAGCTTCCTCGTCTGCACCGTGAGACTGTTGGTGGTTGTGAGGTTCCGATAAGCTGCAAGTGGCAAAAAGGTTTTTGCAAACTGAAAACTCTTGTGCCCACCTGGAGACAATTTTCCTTTCTCCCTCCATCCTGGGTTCCGGGCGCCCGAGCAAACCCAGGCACAGGTCTGTCTGCAGACTCCGGTTCCTGAGCTAGCACCTCCGGGCACACCCCCCCTGAGAGCACAGGTACCTACCAGAGCGACAGCTGGGCCCTTGTTAACAAGGTGTCTGCAGACCTTGTTTGGAATACGTCAGCTACTGTGATTAAAGACAGTACATAAATGTCAGCCTCGCCGGGACCCAGCCCCAGCTGGTTTCCAGGAAAGGAAACCTGAAAAACATGTCTTCATTCCTTCCGTTTTACAGCTTAGGCCATCTAAGGCTTGTGCAGAGTGAGTTCACGGGGGTGAGGGGCTGTACAGGGCCTGCAGGGAGTGGGGAGGGGGGCTTTGGCTGTGGGGGTAAGGAGGGAAAAGAGGCAGGTGAATAGTTTGCCAGTGCGCTCTCAACCAGGCTGGATAATTGTGTGACCTGGAGTCACTTTTCCCCTCGGAGCCTCAGTTTCCTCATCTGTAAAATGGAGACAATAATATATGTGCCATGGGCTGTTAAGAAGATAGCGACAACATTTGTAAGGTACCAGGGTAGTGCTTTGCACAGAGCAGACTCTCGCTGCAACCAGCACACTGTGGGGAGTTGAGCTGCATACTTTGTATACATAGGTGCTCAATGAATGTCCCTTTAATTGGGTCCGAGCTGGTAGAGACTGTGAGATGCTCAGTGCATTTCTAATGTTGGAGATGCTCACCAACATTAGAAATAGATATTTGGAGGCAGAGTAAGGTTCAGGAGCACCGGTCCCAGAATCATCGACTCACTGCATGACCCCAGGTAAGGGACGCGACTCCACTCTCCTGGACTCGGTTTCCTCGTCTGCAAAACAGGAGGCTAATCCCTGGTTGGGAGCACTGTGATGAGGCCAACAACTGGCCTGCCCAGCGCACAGGGCAGGTGCACAGGGGCGTAGAGCCTGCTCAGATTCCGGTGCTCCCAGTACCAGGGTTGGATCCTGCACCCCACTGGCTGTGGGACTGTGGCCAGTCCCCTCACATCTCTGGGTCTCCACATCCTTGCCGTGGGTTTGGACATTTGTTGCATAGAGAAGGTTCATCGAGCCTGGTGCAGAGAAGGAACACTGGACTGGGAGTCAGAAGACCTGGGCTCAAGTCTTGGCCTGAGTCTATGGCTTGGGAACCGCCCTCCCCCTCTTGGGTCTCAGTGTCCCAATCTGTACAATGAAGACACTGGACCAGGTGATCTCTGGGTGACCTCAGCTCAGGCACTTGGGATTTCTTCCGGGAAATGAACCAGTGGTTAGGGCCAGGCTGTGGGCAGAAGGAGGTCTGATGATTAGCAAAGGGGCTGAATCCCAGGGCAGGAGGAGCCCCTGATGCTGTTGGAGTCCCCCAGGGAGGCTGGAAGATAAACCCAGAGCAGGGAGCAAGCTGATCATGCTACAACCTGAGCCCCAGACAAAGGCGGCATGGTGGGAGTGGGGTGGGGAATGGAGATGACATTTCACAAATTGCTTCTTAATCACAAAAGAAGAGAAAAATAGCAGCTAGCATTGACTGTTGTTCCAGGTTCTGTTCTAAACACTTGATATATGTCTTAACTCATCTAATTCCCATGATGTAGAGGTGCTATTATTATGCCCATTTCACAGATATGGAAACTGAGGGCCAGCGAGGCTAAGTTGGCCAAAGCCAACTGGCCAAAGCCTCCTGCTAGTACAAGGCAGAGCTGGAACATGGACTGGCACAGTCTGGCACCCACGCTGTTCTCTTGAAGTCTCCATGATGAAGAGCACCACTCAGTGAGCACCTACCACGGCAGAAGGCTGTGAGCTAGCGCCTTTACAGAAGGATCTTGTCAAAGCAACAGCATCCCTGCGAGGAAGGTGTTCTGTTGGTCATGTTTCACAGATAAGGACACGAAGTCCCGGAGAGGTGAAGCGCCCGCCGCGGCTCACAGCTAGAATGGAATGGGGCTGAGCTGGGATTCTGACCGGGGGCCAGGCCCCTGCACGCCTCCAGGCTGGGCAGGACCCCTCCCCAGAAACCCTGCGTGGGGGCTAAAGCAACTGTCGGGAGACAGGACACAGCGACGCCAGTGTAGGAGGCAGAAGTCCGCCAGGCCCCCACTCCAGGCCGTGGCTGGGTGGCGGGAGACGCCACGAAGGAGGTTTGGGGGCTTCGAAGGGCTGCGGTGAGGTCCCCACTGCGTCAGGGCCGTGAGGGCGGGTCCTTTAGCTGAGCGCCCGCCTTGTCCTAGGCACCAGGCCCAGCGCTTGGTGCTCCTTGTCACTGAGTTCTTCCCTGTGACGTAGGCGCCGCTGTTATCATCCCCATTTCATGGATGAGGAGACTGAGGCTCCGACCAGCGGAGTCCCTAGACCAGGGTCACACGCTTAGCAGGAGCCACACTCAGGTCCCTGTGTCTCAAGGCCAGTGCGCCCCAACGGGCCGCCCGTTCCCTCCCAGGGCCAAAGTGCTCAAGCCCTCCAGACCCCGCGGCCCAGGACGTGGCGCAGAGCTCTGTCTCGGGGCCCTTAAAGGGTTAACGCCCCTGTGGCCCCTGGTGCGTCCCTGTCGGCCCCTGCCCTCACCCCTGCCTCACGAGGACCAGACCAGCTCCTTGCTCCAGGCAGCCGGCGAGTTCTCTGCTCGGCAGTCCACGCTCCAGATATTAAATTACTCGTAAATATTTGGCCTGTCCCCAAAGTGGCTGCCACTGCCTCCCCGTGCCCACCGCTCACTGCCCAACATAAGGTCACGCCCTCGGTGGGGGAGGGGTCCTCGGAAAATGAACCCAACTTCACCTTGGGGGACCCGGAAGGAGGAGGCCCTGGTGGGGCTGGGATCTTCCATGGGAGAGGGTCCTGTCTGCACCCCCCGCCCCCCGTTCTGGGGCCCCAGGCCCGGCCCGGGCTGAGGAATATTCTCCCACATCCCAGCGCTGCAGGGTACGGAGAGCCCAAGACCACTCCGGCCCCACGTCCCTCGGGATAAGGCCAAGGGTGACCTGCAATGGCTTTTCACATTGTCTGAGGGGCCGGTGGTCTCTCTCCTCCTCCTCCCGCCCCTACTCGGTTGCCATGGCAACCACAGTGGGGGGTGGGAGGCTGGACCGCTCAGCTCCTGGCCAGGCTACCCAGCATGCTCTGCTTTCACCCAGTTTTCTCCCTCGCTGCCCCTTGGCACGCAGGGGGCGGGGCGGATCCTGCCCTTTTGCCAGTCCACAGAGGGCTCACACCCAAGGGCCATCACTTCCTTCAGGTAGCAGGTCCCCTGCCTTCAGGTAGCAGGTGTCCTGCCCAGCCCCGGGAACGGGGCTTTTACGAGCGTGGTTTATCAGAGAGTGATGGGGGGCTCTCTCTCTCAAGCCCCCTGGAGTTAATGAAGTCAGTTAAGCCCTGGGATTAGAAGGTCGGGGTCATGGGTACAGCCCTTGTTTGCAGAGTAACACCCCAGCCCGCCCCGAGCTCCCACCAGCTGTTTCAGAAATGCCTAGCGCTGGTCGTCTAGGGAACTGATGAGGGCGTCTGGACAGGACGTGGCAACCTCATCCTGAGCGGCCACAGTGGCGTCCCTCGGAGCACACGCCCTGCAGCCTGGGCATCGGGGGCCTCGGTTCCCTCCTCCCGTCGGGTAGGGGACTCGTTTTTATGATAGTAGGGCCTGTACTAGTAAGTCCTTACCACCCTGGCCTGCAGTTTCGTAAATTTGATACTGAAAGAAACTGGGTTTAGCCTTTGTCTCGGCTCAGCTTGGGGCACACTGCCACCAGGTGGCGGCAGTCCCTGCCCAGGTGCACGGTTTTCCTGAGATGCCAGAGACGATTTTCCAGTTTACGCCTCACCACCACAACCTGTAAAAGGCCATTGCTTCTTCCCTTTTAAGATTACAGGACTTTATAAATAGCCAAAGTTAAGCAGGCTGTAGACAAACTCTGCATCTTGGAGTGTAGCACAGCGGACAGACGGCACAGACGCTGGAGCCAAACTGCCTGAGTTCAAATCCTGGCTCGGCCACCTGCTAGCTGTTTAGCCTTTGGCAAGTTAGTCTCTCCATGCCTCAGTGTCTCTCTCTGCAACATGGAGAGGGTACAAAGTGTCTAGCCCACAGGCTTGTTTGGAGGACATGATGAGTTAGTGCACACGCGTTTAGAACGGAGCACACAGCAGTCAGCTCTTTAAAAATGCTGCTTATCAATATTTAAAGATGATGCATAAGAGCAAAGTTTCTAAAATAATTTGTATTCCGAGATTCACGGACATCTCTTTGTCTACTCAGTCTTATCTGGCGTTTCTAATCTGGTGATTTGTTTCAGGGCTGCACTGCCAGACACTCCCACCTGCCCAGGTGTCTCCTCCGGCTCCTCAGCCCCACACTCAAGGCCGTGGCCTAGCGCCCTCACCTCCTAGTGTCTGTGAGATCATCCCCTGCACTCCACATGCACTGCCTCCCTGGTCGCGCTCCTGAACTGCTGCAACTGTCCCCTGCCTCTTCTGCTCCCCTCTGACCCAATCTCCTCCCCACAGCCACAGCGATTCCTCTAAAATAAAAATATGCTTCTGCTCAAATGCCCTCTATGGCTCCCTAGTACCTCCAGTACCAAGTCTAGGCTCTTCCACTGGGTCCCTCTCCCCGCCTCCCACTCCAGCCTCATCTCTCTTCCAGCCGCTGTCAAATGCTGTCCTCCTGTCCCAGCTGCCTCATTGGGGCTCCCCCAAAGCCGTGGGCTCTCTCGGGCTCTGCACCCTGCGCAGGGGCTACTTCCTCAGCCCGAGTCGCCTCCCTCCCCTGCCTGCCCAGCTCCTGCCTGCTCAGCCTCCTGATTTGGTGCCTGCCTCCCCTCCCCTGGGAAGCACTTCCTGATCCCTCTGCAGCCTCCAAACAGGGTGCAGACCCTCCTTGGCCTGCCCCGAGCCCTTTGCACTCGGAAGGGGCCTGTCTTAGTCCACCTGTGTCCCCGGAGATGCCCTGCACACAGCAGGCCCCCAGAGAGTCTCTGGGAAATGAACCCAGGATGCCCATTTCACCCTGACGGGCCTATGGTGTCCTCTTTCCCTTGTGCTCTGTCCCGGTGCACCTGCTTCTAGGCCTAGCTCAAACGTCACCTCTGCCAGGAGCCCCTTGGTAACCCTCACCCCCATGTCATGCCTGCCTGGATATTTCACTCTCCCCTCAAGGAGGCAAATGCAACAGGCATGAACTTGACACGTGCAAGTCCCCGGCTGTAGCCCCGGCCCTCATGCAGTGCCCAGCACACGCTCGGAGCTCACAAACCGTGTGTTGAATGAATGAACAAATGCCCAGGATTCGTCCAGACCAGTGGTTCTCAATCGGGTGATTTGGGCAATGTCTGGAGACAGTTTTAGGTCACAGCCGTGGGGTGGGGGGTGGCTCCTGAGATCTGGCGGTGAGGCCAGGGATGCCGTTCCTTGTCCTGTAACGCACAGGAGGACTCCCACAACAGGGAGGTACCTGCCCCAAAATGTCGCCGTGGAGGTTGAGAAACCCCGGTGCAGAGCTTGCAGCACGCGGCGCTGTCTCCCTGGCACAGAGACGCCCCACGGCGGACCTTGATCTTGCTTCTGTTTCCTGGGTACCCACCAGCAAGTAGGCAGTCGATCAACAATGGTTGTAATACACGCGCAGGTGGCAGATTACAGCTCACGCCCTTTTCCTCACCCCAGCTTCCACCTCTCACTCCGCACTTGGCCTCAAACCACCGTCTGCTGCCTGTGGGGCGTTCCTGGGCCCCGAGGCTTCTGCTTGCCAGGCCCCTCCTTTTCCCGGAGTCTCCTGGCCCCACAGCCATGCGGGATAAACAGGCAGGAAAGAGAAACCACATTTCCAAGGTCGTGGGGAGCTTTGCCAGGTGTTGGGGACCCTGGGAGTGCGTCCTGGCCCGCCACTAACTTGCTGTGTGACTTGGCCAAGTCATAGCCCTCTCTGGGCCTCCAGCGCTCAGCAAGGAGATGGGGGGAGGGGTGTAGACAGGCCCTGTCTGGGCTGGCCCCTGCACGCCAGAGTGCTTCCGGTGACATCCCGGAGGTGGGAGCAGCCCGGGACTCCCCGTCCTTCCCCAGCCTGGGCGCTCCGGGCTTTCTCGCCGGGGCCGGGGTGCCCGTCTCCCAGGGCGCTGCCGTCAGCTGTGACCCCTGCGCCCCAGAGGCGGCCGAACAAGCGGCCTTTGTGGTCTGTGCGCAGGCGGCCCTGGGGCGGCACAAAGGGTGGGAAGAAAGGCGCCAATCCTCTTAGGGATGGCCGCGCTTTCCCACTGCGGCCCATCTGCTCCCCGGGAGCCGCGTAGCCACCGCCGCCGCCGGCCCCACGGCCGCCTAAGCAAGCAAAGCTGCCGGAATGAAAGGCCGGCAGGGCGGCCAGATCCCCACGGCAAACACAGGCCAGGCTGGGGGCCTGGGAGGGGGCAGGGCTGATCCCCGGGGAGACTGTGGTTAAAAGCGCCGCCCCAGGAGGGGGACCCAGGGCTAATCCCCGCTGCCCTGCGCCTTCCCTTCCCACACCCCTGCAAGGGACAGGAGGGAGTGGGGGGAGGGCCGGGTCAGAGGTCCTCCCTCCCGTGCCAGGGCTCAGGGGCCCTGTATAGGCACCTCTGTCTTTTCCCGGCAGCGCCCCCTTTCACAATGGGCTCGGCAAGCCCTCGTCGCTTGCCCAGGTCACCCGGCTGCTGTGTGGCAGAGCAGGATCTCGGCTCGGGCTGAGTCCAGATTCATTCATCCATGTGACCGAGGTTTGCTGAGCCCTTACGCCAGGGGCTCTGCAACCACCTCTGTTTCTTACAGATGGGGAAACTGAGGCCCGTAGGCAGAGGTGATATGCCCAAGATCACAGGCCTGATAAAGTCCTGGCTCTGCCACTGCCCTGTGTCCTGACCCAGGCCCCATAACTCGTGCGCTGCCTTGGGCTCTCCAGTCTCCCGGCTGGGGGTCCGCAGGCCGCCTCCTCTCCCCGGGAGCCTCGATTCCCTCATGTACAAAGTGGGATCCGCGAAGAGTGCAGCTCTGAGGGTTTGGTGGGAGGATCTGTGAAAGGCTTTGGCTCCAGGCCTGGCACACAGTAGGTGCCCAGGAGTGGCAGCTGCTGTTGGTATTAACCGGCCCAGAGCAGGATAGACCTGAGAAGAGGAGGAGAAGGAAACGATGAGTTTCTGCTCATCCACGGCTGGCCCCAAACACTCCTATTTTTCTGTGGTTGGGGTTTGCCGGGCAGAGTAAGGAAGGAGCCAGAGCTGGAGCCGGAGCCAGGGGAAGGGACGCAGCAGTGGGGCCAGGCTGAAGCCACCAGGGAGAGGGCTGAGGACAGCTGCCCCCTCGCAGCCACGTGAGGCCCAGAACATCAGAGCCCAAATGCTGTCTCCTACACACACACACACACACACACACACAGAGGAGTACATGTGCACACACACAGAGGAGTGCATACGCACACATACACAGAGGAGTGCATGTGCACACACGCACACAGAGGAGTGCATACGCGCGCACACACACACAGAGGAGTGCATGTGCACACACACAGAAAGGAGTACATGTGCACACACACAGAGGAGTGCATACACACACATACACAGAGGAGTGCATGTGCACACACGCACACAGAGGAGTGCATACGCGCACACACACACACAGAGGAGTGCATGTGCACACACATGCACAGAGGAGTGCATGTGCACACACACAGAGGAGTGCATGTGCACATACACAGAGGAGTGCATACGCACACACATACACAGAGGAGTACATGTGCACACACACAGAGGAGTGCATGTGCACACACACAGAGGAGTGCATACGCACACACATACACAGAGGAGTGCATGTGCACACACAGAGGAGTGCATGTGCACACACACAGAGGAGTGCATACGCACACACACAGAGGAGTGCATATGCACACACATACACAGAGGAGTGCATATGCACACACACAGAGGAGTGCATGTGCACACACACACAGAGGAGTGCATACGCACACACATACACAGAGGAGTGCATGTGCACACACACAGAGGAGTGCATACGCACACACACAGAGGAGTGCATGTGCACACACACACAGAAGAGTGCATACGCACACACATACACAGAGGAGTGCATGTGCACACACGCACACAGAGGAGTGCATACGCACACACATACACAGAGGAGTGCATGTGCACACACACAGAGGAGTGCATGTGCACACACACAGAGGAGTGCATGTGCACATACACACAGAGGAGTGCATGTGCACACACGCACACAGAGGAGTGCATATGCACACACGCACACAGAGGAGTGCATACGCACACACACACACAGAGGAGTGCATGTGCACACACACACACAGAAGAGTGCATACGCACACACATACACAGAGGAGTGCATGTGCACACACACAGAGGAGTGCATGTGCACACACACACAGAGGAGTGCATACGCACACACATACACAGAGGAGTACATGTGCACACACATAGAGGAGTGCATGTGCACACACACACACACAGAGGAGTGCATATGCACACACATACACAGAGGAGTGCATGTGCACACACACAGAGGAGTGCATACGCACACATACACAGAGGAGTGCATGTGCACACACACAGAGGAGTGCATACGCACACAGAGGAGTGCATACGCACACACACACAGAGGAGTGCATGTGCACACACACAGAGGAGTGCATACGCACACACATACACAGAGGAGTGCATGTGCACACACACAGAAAGGAGTACATGTGCACACACACAGAGGAGTGCATGTGCATACACACAGAGGAGTGCATACGCACACACACAGAGGAGTGCATGTGCACACACACACAGAAGAGTGCATACGTACACACACACAGAGGAGTGCATGTGCACACACACAGAGGAGTGCATACGCACACACATACACAGAGGAGTGCATGTGCACACACACACAGAGGAGTGCATGTGCACACACACACAGAGGAGTGCATGTGCACACACACACAGAGGAGTGCATACGCACACACATACACAGAGGAGTGCATGTGCACACACACACAGAGGAGTGCATGTGCACACACAGAGGAGTGCATGTGCACACACACACAGAGGAGTGCATGTGCACACACACAGAGAAGAGTGCATACGCACACACACAGAGGAGTGCATACGCACACACACACACACAGAAAGGAGTACATGTGCACACACACAGAAAGGAGTACATGTGCACACACACAGAGGAGTGCATGTGCACACACACACAGAAGAGTGCATACGCACACATACACAGAGGAGTGCATGTGCACACACACAGAAAGGAGTACATGTGCACACACACAGAGGAGTGCATACGCACACAGATACACAGAGGAGTGCATACGCATACACATACACAGAGGAGTGCATACGCACACACACACAGAGGAGTGCATACGCATACACATACACAGAGGAGTGCATGTGCACACACACAGAAAGGAGTACATGTGCACACACACAGAGGAGTGCATACACACACACATACACAGAGGAGTGCATGCACACAC